AAAAAAAAAAAAAATATATATATATATATATATATATATATATATATACCGTAAATGTCATATGTTTATTTATATTATTAATCTAAAATATGTTATTTTTAATTTTAAAGTATAACAAGTAAACAAATTTATCATTAATCTCAAAATTAAGTAAAATTTATATTAAGTTTTAACTTAACAATTCTTGCTTTTTTTGATTAGTACCAGATGAAACACATTAACTAGGCTTATTTGTACAACCATGCCTGCCTTTCAAAAGCCAATAATTAGAATATTTTCATGTTCATCTATACTAGCTATGTAGAACAAACAAGATTGAGTAATTTTTTTTTTTTTCCTACATTACTGAAACAGGGGCTTCTGGTATTAGTTAGTTCCAACTCATACAACACTACACAGAATACAATCAATAGTACATCCCATGAAACACCATTAAACTAAAAACATCAAATCATTGCACCATCAGATCAACAAAAGGGCTTAAAAACCTTAAATGCTAATTACATAACTAGCAAAGTACACGACGTTTCCAAAGCCAATCACATCATCAGCACACTACATAATTAGGCAACATAACAACTGTTTTAACAATACAAAATTACAAATCAAAACCCTCATCTTCCGAATAAATTTGTCACTGCTTCGTCATCATCATCATCATTGATAATGGAGAAAAACGGAGAGAGGGAAATATACAAGTAGGCTGATAGCATCATTGGTTCTTAAATGACTGCAAGCAAACAACAGGGTCCAAAATTAGTAAAGGTGACAACTTTAGATGAAGGGGAAAAAAGAACAAGGTAATTCGAAAAGAAACCAACCCCAAGGTTCTTAGAGACATCCTTAACTTGCTCGGCTAAATCTTTTTTCTTTTGAGCAGCTTCATGAAGCCAAGACAAATAGTTCGATGGAAATGACATCAGCCAGATGTACACAACAATGAAATACGTAACCAGAAGCATCTAAATGAACTTGAATAAAAAAAAAAAAGAATACCAATATCAGATAATTCATCCATCTTCTTTGACGTCCTCACTGCAAACCTCTGGAATCTCGGGCTGGGTTTGAAAGGGATATAATAAGTTAGATTTATATTTCACGGCCAATCAAAAAAAAAATTGAGCAACAAGGAGCACTGTGCCATTCATACAAATTATGCAACATTTTTCGTTTCACGCTTCATAACGATAAAGTTCATACACCAGCCAACATAATGCTAATATCTCAACTCAATTCAAAGATGGACCGAATACTACATTTAACAACAAGGGTCTACAAAAGCATGGAACAGGAGGCCATTACTAGAAACCTTAAAAAATCAGAAAGGAGCATGAAAAGTTGTAAGGATACCATTTATCAAACTCAGTTTTATCAAACAACCTTCTTGCATCACCAAATGGCCCTAACAATGGCCCAAGAACAAAGCTTAAATAGCATCACATGATAAATTTAGCCATAGAAAAAGGAGAATTATAGAAGTGTTTACCTATATGCACAAAGATAACTGATTGCATTGGCCCTCAATCTCAAAAAGGTGAAATTTACCATACACAACAATAAAACCAAGAATGTATTTTTATTCCGTCCAGTGCATACTAATAAGAATTCGTGTGCACAAGCAAGACTTTATCATCAATGAAAATCCAACAAGAAAACCAAGAGCATAAGCAAGAATTTCACGGTTCAAACGACACAAAATATACAGAATGTAAACCTTAAAAAACAGGTAATATCCAACAAAAGGAGCTCACAAACAGCTGCTCGAAAATCAAAATTTGATATGCCTCAGACTGATAAAAATTTCGCAAGAGATAGCGATCATCTGCGCAATCAGTACAAGCCTACGGAAGTCATCATCGGCAAACAAAATCCAATTTTATGAACCCGACAGATAATCCACAGCAATTAGAATCTGATAAAGAAAGAAAAGGAAAAATGGAATCTTAAAGCTAAAATCAGATACCTATTCGCGAGCCCATTAACGATAAGCTCATTCGCGAGATAGTATATCACTCTGTGAATGAAATTTCCACCGCCGGCCATTCTTCACGACGAAGAGATCAAGCGAGGGTTAGGGGAAAGTAGGAAACTAATGTATCTGAGGTTTGTTGGTTTCACAATTGGGGAGTATCAGTAGGCTAATGGGCCCGTTCCTTTTGTAACTGGACCCGAGTTGGGCCGTTATGCCAACTGCCCAGTAACTTTGAACAATAAAGCCCTAATTTAGGGGAAAACTCGATCCTACGCACACCGTGCAGTTACCGGGTTTTTCACTACTGGATTAACACACACATACCACATAAGTATGTGTTGATTCAATGATAAAAAATAAAAAAATAAATAAATAAATAAATAAATTAAAAACTCGATTTTTGCATTGCAGTTGTGTGTGTGTGTATGGTGAAAACTACTCTAATTTTTAATTGATTTTGATTTACTTTCCGCATAGTTATGTGTAGAGAATATTTTATCCTACACGCAACGATGTGATTATTGGATTTTTTTACCGTTGAATTAACACACAAAATCACAATTTTATATTGATTCAACGTTGAAATATTCAATGAGTGCAGTACATTGTGTGTAGAGTGAAATCTACCATTGTTGTTGTTGTTGTTGTTGTATTTTTTTTTTTTTTTTTTTTTTTTTTTTTTTTTTTTTTTTTTTTTTTTTATGAACTCAAGTGTTGGTTGTAACTTGGTTGTCTAACTGCTGATAATGGAATGAACATAAGGTGGCTGCCCACATCTGAGAGTTAAACTTATACACATCTTAAAGAGAAGTATGATTTACACTAAAAAAAAAAAAACATCCATTCAAGATTCAACAGAAAATAAGAATTACAAAATAAAAAATCAAAGATTGATCATTAGTAAAAAATGTGGTTCATTATTTTTTTCCTTTTCTTTGATATTTAGTCCATCTACAGATACAACAAATGCGCGTAAAATATCCGATTCCATGTATCGGGAACTCCGGGCAGACACCAATGTATGCAGTCGGCATAATGCAGAGGATCCTCCTTTTGTTCGTCCGTTAGCAAGTTGCCGCCCATCTCAGTATAAATCGATGAATGAGCATCGATTCTATATTCCGACAGTTGGGTTATGTTTAGCAACGTGACAACCACTTTCATCCTAGACACGACCCCTTCAACTACCTTCATCATGGTCTTGTCTGAACCGGTCCCCCAATGCCATTTCTTTGTAATCGGCTTTGTCTCGTTAAAACATTTTATGCCTTTCTCATTGCCCCAATCAGCACTCCTGCAATGTTTGGTAAACTTAGCTGAGTTTATAAGTGAATTTTAAGTTCATAACTGATAGCTTACGACTTATGGCTTATGATTGAAAAACTAGCTGATACGATAAAAGTGTGAGAATTAGCTGATAAAAATATCAACTGACTTATTCGAAAAACTACTCAAGGAAACTTATTAGATAAACTCGAGCATTATAAAAAGACTCTCCTACCAAAAAAAAACTTATTTAAGTACAGAAACTTTATAAACTAACCAAATAAGCTATAAATTAGCTTATATTTCTTACCAAACATGGTCTAAGATAGTTCGAAAAATGCCAAAATGTAGTAAGTTTCGAGTTTTCCTAAATAGGGAAAGTAAAAAAGAACTCACCTTTGATGAGTAGGAGACATGGTAGTAAAAAACACTCTTGTTTTGTTGGGATTAACATTGGAGTCTACCCAATTAGCCCATGTCTTAAGTCCTACTTTGTAAGATACAGGCGCGTCTAGTTCTTCGTATCCTTCTTCTCCATTTGCAAATGTACCCCATCTACGAGTGTTTTTTTTTTTTTTAAAAGACGGTGAGCGACTCAAATATGAAGGAAAACAAAAAATAATAATAATAATAATAACACATAGAGATGTGAGTAATTTACAGTGACTTGATCTTGAGTCCACTCATCCACCAAACGTAGGTGTTGAAAACGAGGATATCAACTCCAATCCAGTGTTTGGCGTGCTTGGCAACCGAGTCCACTTTCAAAATCCGCTTCTTTGGGTCGGCTATTATGCGCACATCCGAGTTCGACTCCACTAGGAATGGCGCCCAATAGAATTCGATTGTGGCATTGTATTCCTATAGAATCAATGTGGGAAAAATGAGAGTTATAAGATGTTGAAACAAAGTTTGAACAAATGTTTTATGTGTTTGCACCTTGACTTTGAAGACCGAATGTACACGACCTCGTTTCATCGATTTCTTCCTTCGCGGTATTATGGACTCGACTAGGCAAATGAATGATTGCCACTGTCCTCTTTGAAGTGAATCCCCTACAAACATTAGCCTCTTCCCCCGTATTTTTTCTAACGCTCTTATCGGATCAAATCTGCACTTAGAATCAGAAAATAAATAGCAATGAGCTAAGTTTAACAGGAACTACTGATTAGCTTAGCCTAAGTTTATCGTTCAAGATAGAAAAAAGAAAATGATATCCTAACTTACCTTGGCAAAATGCAGTCATTAGGCATCCATTCCCATTGCTGGTAAGTAGTGTCGTTTTTCCCATTCTTAACGCACGAAACCTGCCTGTCCAAATACGGGCATGTTGTGTCCGTATATGAAGGTTTAATCGAGCTGTTGAAAACCCATTTCCCGTTATTAAGGCTACACTCGTCTGGATCAAATGTGAACCGATCATCTGCTGCAAAATCCAATGCACTCCCATTGATCATATCTCTTTTATCTGTCAAAAAAAAAAACATTCAAAACACATACAAAAACTTTATGTTGTCACGAAAAACTCGACACAAAGTATGAAAAAGGAGAGGACTTTCTAGTTTCTACCTTTGATAGATTTATTTGCCCCATTTCTTTTAGCACAAGGCTTGAACCTGAAAATGTCGCCCGATGAAAACGAACTTGAACTGATCCTTTCTGTGTACAACAGAGACAAAAAGGCCAACACGCTAAAAACGACGCTAATTATCGAGAGGGATAACTTTCCTCTTATCGACTTCAGCATGCCCATTTCAATACAAGGATTACAGAGAAAACTAAAATGGCCTAAGAAATAGAAGGAAATTATCAAAACTTGTGCTTGATCAACAACATGATGATGATGATGATCAATTAAGTGGAGATTATTATTATTCTTTTTTCACATTGAAATTTGAGTAAGGGTGAAGCTACAGCAATGCATTATTTTTGAGCAGAGATAATTTTTTTTTTTTTTTATTGAACCACATTATGCAAGCTATATATATGCTCGCTTGCAAGCCAAAATGTCATTGTCATGGGCTCATAATCATGTCTTTTGCACATAGTATAAGTACTGTTGACTGATATTCTTTCGAAAATATTTCATGTTTCAAAATCATGTTTCAATTATGATGTCATCATAGACACGTGTCATTCATCCAATGAAACGAAACAACAACAGTACATTAATTGCACGACTATAAACATCGTGAAAATGTGAAAGTCCGATTGGGCTCGTCCGGGACCGCGGCCAGTGGTGTGGTCCCCACAAGCACATTGATTTACACTTGAGTGTGTGAAATAATGATTATTAGGTGAGAAAAGGTTTTCCATTGAAACCAAGTTGGCAAATGTTTGGCCTCTCTTTTACATGACTTGCACTTACAGTAAACATAAAAGAAAAAATTAAAAAAAAAAATAAATAAATAAATAAAAAATGAAAACACACATGTTGTTTCTGTTTTTACTTTTTAGAGATTTGAAAGTGCAGTCATACAGTTCCATTATGTGATGTACTTACTGCATTTTTATTGTATTCCTTGTCTCAGACATAAATTTTCCTTCTTTTTTTTTTTTCTCTCTCTTTACATTAATTTGGAAAAGTCATTTGTTGATTGACTTATTCTCTAAAAATATTTTTATGTTGGGCGAGTCGGCTCGTCATATTTTTTTCACTAAAAATACATACTTATACTATAAATATTTTTATGTTGGTTGTTAGAGTATGTCACCTCCTCATGGGTTAGGGGATTGGCTTGACCATGACGTTCGTGGAGTGGCCTATCCTCGGCGGGTACTAAGTTCGTAGTTCTGGGCCATTGCCCATTGGCCTTC